GGGGCCTAAGAATGCACTACAATTTCAAAGCAAACTAAGACAAAAGAAACAATCTTCCAAAGAAATGTTACAAAAGAATATAGGAAGCCATCTATGACTCTAAAGGAAAGGAAGAAGACAGAAGATTCAACTGAGTAAAATTCATAACATGGCTGAAAGGATAGGCTTTTTCTAACCTTTCTTAGATATCCCTGGGATTGGGATTTATGTTTCTCAGATATCATGTACTCAGTTATTTAGCTTCTCAAATACCAAAATAGCAAAAAAAGCATTCCCCATCACCTCCCATGCAGTACCCTCCCCCCCAATACCACCACTTGGAGTAAACTCACGTAAAGGCAAAGAAGAGTGTTGTAGCTCCCACTAAGAAGATGGCGGCTGCTGAGACCGGGACATACTTGCTGGGTTTGAATCTCTTTCCAGACTCTGAGGGCATGTTGGAGCTCTGATGGGAGATCTGCCCTGCCGCATAGCCCAGGCCCACACAGCGGCAGAACAGACAAGAAAATGGGATGAGGGAAACAACAGAGAGGAATACAGAAAGAAACCAGGGAAACCGAAAATATTAAATTATCACCCTTCCCCCTCCCAAATAAAACCAAAAGTCAAAAGATCTCAAATGAAAGAAAGCACATGGGAGGGGGAAAGGTGATTTCAAACAGTGAATAACCACCTCCCCAGAACAAGGCAGAAGGGGAGATTAAGAAACACAACTTATACAGTCTAAAAATTTCAGACGAACAGTAGGCTGTACACATGCAAATGATTGCAGGTGGAGAACATGGAGAGTCACTCAGACCAAGGTATAGCTCATGGATGGAAGCGCATCTTCAAAAGAAAAGAAGGGGAGAATATCAGGGTAGGGCAGAAAACTTCAGGCAGGGAAAAATTCTTCTGAGGAGATACTGTAGTACCTCCACAACTATCACACTTCCACAAATGTGAGCACACTGAAGGTGTGTGCTCTATGTATCTACTTTAATCCAAAAACAAATCTGGGGCCCTCTCCAGCTTTAAAAAGAAGCTGTTTTCACTGCAATTCCTGTCCCTTTTTGGCAGTCTTCTCAATGCCACCACTCCCACACCTTGACTTCACCAGGGCTTGTAGTCTGGCAGTGGTAGTTTAATTTGATTTTTCTCTCTCTCTCAGTGGCTACAGCAGGACAACAGCTGTTACAAGAATGAGTTGTAAATCCTTTTCTTTGAAGGGAAAGGAAATAAAGAGAGGGCAAGCTTGTCTTCAATCTCTTTTTTGTTATTCCCAAGCCCTTTAAGGGCTCCGTTTCCTATAGAGTTCATGCAAAACTAAAAGGAAACTTAAAATCCTTAAAGCCATGTTCTTCTCGATGAGCAAAACAAGATGAAAAAACTAACTCCACTTGATGACACTTTAAAAAAATTACTGTGAATGAAAGCAAAGTTCCAAAGGTGTCCCTGTTTCCAGGTTAGACAACGTCTCTGATTTGTCTTCTTCAATTGCGGGCTTTCCAAATGCAGAGTTCAACTGGGTAATGGTGCCTCACCTGGAGAAAAACAAATATTTTTATCAGAAAGTATTTCAGGGCTTTGCTCAAGAACACCAAGGATATAACTCCCTAGACTGCTGTGTTAAACTGTACCTTCGAAAGAAAAAGATTTATTTCTACTTGGCTTACATGTATGTGGGGATACATGAATTGGGATGAAAATGGATTCAGAATCCTTCACTCTCTTAAGTGCTGTTCAGATTGGAGGAGAACATGTTTTGCCTGACCTAAGGTCATCAAAGGGCTAGCTCTTCCACAAGGCTCACCTCACTTGACACAAATGGTCAGTAAGAAATACCAAGAATATAAAAATCTAAAAACAACAAGGGCACAGCAGTGAACAGCAGTCCTAGAATAGAGATTTCTCTTTGAACAAAGAAATGACAATGAAAAAGAGAAAAACACAACCTCAGAATTAGGACACTAAGTCTCATTTCTGTGGGTATGTCTCTTACCCCTCTATGCTTCTCACTTATAACCCTAAAGAGGCAGAAGCAGGATTTTTGCACCCATTGAAGAATTTGAGTAAAAAAATGTTCTGGCACTGAAAGGCAAGATTCTCTCTATAAGAAATGGAGTCTACCAACAGAGTTGGTGCTTTTCTTCTCAATTAGTCCTTCCAATTTGACACTTTTTTATTCCTATACTGGCCCATTAGGAAGTAAACCCAGCTCCACCTAGCCCAATATGATTAAGAGTAACAATTATTTCTGTTGATGATAGTAACAAAATAACACAAGCACCTTGGGTTTTATAGGCTGCTTTTCATCTGATGATCTCAAAGCACTTTACTCACATTATCTGGTGACACAGTCCCTTATCCCACTCCGTAAAATTGAAGGCTAGAGAACGCCTGAGGCAGTTTCACTGAATCACTTGAGCACCCAGGTCCAGAACCCAGGAGTACATATGTCCCTTTGCTGACACAAACCCTTGTTACCTCTTTTATCCACTCCATTACCTACCCGGTAATGATAACTTGGAATGTGCAGACCAAAAATTATACTTAGGTGAGATTTTAAAAAAGAAAACAGTGTTAATCCCTTGAAGCAGTCTAGTATTCCTTAATATCAAAGGCACAGATTAAAACTATCTGATTTTAGGGCCAGCCAGTGGCATGGTGGTTTAAGATAGCGAGATCCCATTAGGCCAACTAGGCAGTTGGAGTACTGGATGCAGAAGCTTCAAAACTACACAGAGTACATATGCATGTGTGCTCAAATTTTCCAAAGGAAAACCTAAGGAGAAAGGGCTGCACTGGGGCCATCCTCCAGGTGGGCTGCTTTCTTACTTTCCCTGTCTCCCTGAGGCAAATGCTCATGCTCTTTAGCAAATTTAAAAAACAATAGATATGGAGACTGAAATACAAACAACCCTGGAATGTACCATTTCCTCTCTCACCTGTGACACAGACAACTAAGGCAACTTCCTTAGATTTAGCTCTCTGAAAACAAGGTTCTAGGGGCCGGCAGGTGGCATGGTGATTAAGATGCTGGATTCCAAGACCAACAGTTAGCGTAATGACTATGTCGCTGGACTCCCACATAGTCGACTGCGGCTTAAACTCACGCCGGGCACTTGTGCGTGCGTGCCCAAGATCCTGAGAGGAGAATGGAGGAGAAGGAATTGCAGCGTGGCCATCACCCCTGGGGGGTGATTTCTCA